CAGCAGAGAATTCAACAAGGGCGATGTCACGTGTACACTTGGATACGTGGCGCAGAAGCTGCAGCGTCCCCTCACATGCTGATCCCAGACGCTGCTCCTCTCTCCGCCGTAATCCCGCCTTGTTCCTTTTTGAAGACCCAGACCACCCCTGAGGCCAGCATGCTGTCGAGGGGGGCCCAGCTTTGACGAGAGTAACTAGCAGTCCCATGCTTTCATGTCCAAGTCTTGCATTCCTCTTCAGCCTCGTCGCTCATCGTACCTCCCCATGGTGCCATTGCCAAAGCCATTACTCTAGGGCATTACTCTTGAGGGCATGATAGCGATCAACGAGGTTTTCTGCAAGTCGAAACGGAACACTTGTGCAGCCGTCCGCGTGACACCAAGGATGCCATCCCCTCTCTCCTTCGCAGGCGTGCCCACGTCGCGGATGCACGCGACGTCGGCGAACAAGTCACCCGCGTAGTCGTCCACCGCCTCCCCCCTTTCAGATTGCCGTCAGATTGCCGGAACCCATGCACCGGCCTCGTCTGCCTCGTGCTGGGCTCAGCGCCGCCCGGCTGCGTCCTGCACCAGTCGCTCGAGAATCTCCATCGCCTCGCCTCCGTCGCGCCCGTTCATCCCGGCTTGGAACAGCCTCGTTGCTCGCGCTGCATCCCGCGCAACCCCGTCCGCTCCGTCTCGCAGCAAGCGAGCCAATTTAAGCATAGCGTCGCGGTTATGGCACTTCTCGATCGCACGCTCGTACAATTGCGCCGCACGAGCCGCGTTCGTCCGCACTCCCCCCGTGCCTTGTACTAGCATTTCCCCGAGTTGCACCATGGCCTCGACGTAGTCGTGCTCTTCAACCGCGCGCTCAAGCAGCTTTGCGGCTCGCGCTGCATTCGGCCGCACCCCGTCTCTGTCATCCTGCAATAGGCGCGCCAGTTCGACCATAGCAAAGGCATCCTGGGCCTCGTCGATCGCGCGCTCGTACAATTCTATTGCGCGAATCACATTCTTCTCCACTCCCGCCGCGCCAAGGGATAATAGCAGGCCCAGCCCTGTCATCGCGTGCACATCACTGTGCTCCAGGATCGCGCGCTCATATAGATTCGCAGCTCAGACTTCATCCCGCAGAACGGCGTCCCTTCCAGATATTGTTGACAGTACAGTTCTACACCTCAACTCTTCCACTCTGGTTCCAGGAAAGGATCACGTAACAGGTTAGTGCTAACCGGAGATAACTTTCGGTATAATCGGACCCGTAGTCGATGGTCCGTATCTAACATGCTACAGTAGTGATTGCTTCAATTCAGCAGAATTGAGAACGACTATCTCACATTAACTGGAACGCTCTGAGCCGCATCAGCACATGCATTGCAGTAGCAAAGAAAAACACACAATTGCAAAACTAAAACTGCAAATCATCAAGAACACGAGTTGGCAGGTAGTGCCGCCACTACGGCCTTCCCAGATCGCACGCCCGAACAATTCGAAGGCCCGAACCACGTTTCTCTCCAATCCCTCTGCGCCCTCCTTCAGCAGGAGGAATCCAAGATGCACCATCGCCTGGATATCGTCGAGCTCTTCAATCAAGTACTCATACAGTTCCACAGCACGCGCTGAATTCTGTGCCACCCCGTCCCCTCCGTCGCGCAATACAACAGCTAGGTTGAACATCGCGTTGCAATTATGAGATTTCTCGATCGCACGCTCGTACAGCTCGACAGCCCGACCCACATTTCTCTCCACTCCCACTGCGCCCTGAAGTAGTAGGACTCCAAGATTCACCATCGCGTCGACATCGTCGTTCTCTTCAATCAAGTACTCGTACAGTTCCACAGCCCGCGCTGAATTCTGTGTAACCTCGTCCCCTCCCTTGCTCAATATATATGCTAGGTTGAACATCGCGTTGCAATTATGAGATTTCTCGATCGCACGCTCGTACAGCTCGACAGCCCGACCCACATTTCTCTCCACTCCCACTGCGCCCTGCTTCAGTAGGACTCCAAGATCTACCATCGCCTTAACATGATCGTGCACATTAATCACGTACATGTACAGTTCCACAGCCCGTGCTGCGTTTTGTGCCACCCCGTCCCCCCCGTTGCGCAATACACCTGCTAGGTTGAACATCGCGTTGCAATCATGAGATTTCTCGATCGCAAGCTCGTACCACTCGACAGCCCGACCCAAATTTCTCTCCACTCCCTCTGCGCCCTCCTTCAGCAGGTTTGCAAGATTCACCATCGCGTCGACATCGTCGTGCTCCTTAATCGCGTCCTCGTACAGTTCCACAGCCCGCGCCGAGTTCTGTGCCACCCCGTCCCCCCCGTTGCGCAATACACCTGCTAGGTTGTACATCGCGTTGCAATCATGAGATTTCTTGATCGCACGCTCGTACAACTCCACAGCCCGACCCAAATTTCTCTCCACTCCCTCTGCGCCCTTCTCCAGCAGGCTACCGAGATGCACCATCGCGTCGACATCGTCGTGCTCCTCAATCGTGTCTTCGTGCAGCTCCACAGCCCGTACTGAATTTTGTGCCACCCCGTCCCCTCCCTTGCTCAAAATAAGTGCTAAGTTGTACATCGCGTCGCAATCATGAGATTTCTCGATCGCACGCTCGTACAACTTGACAGCCCGACCTACATTTCTCTCCACTCCCTCTGCGCCCTCCTCCAGCAGGAATCCAAGCTTCACCATCGCCCGAACATTTTCATGTTTGTCTATCGCGTTTTCATACAACTCCACAGCCCGTACTGCGTCCGTTTCCACTCCTTCTGCCCCCTTCGCCAGCAGTTTTCCGAGTTGTACCATTGCATCGGCATCATCGTATTGCCGCACCGCGCGTTCATACAGCCTCACAGCGCGCTGTGCATTGATGCTGACTCCTTCCGCGCCCTCTGTCAGTAGATTACCGAGGCCCACCATTGCGCCGACATGACCATGTTCCTCAATCGCGCTCCCATACAGCCTCACAGCTCGTGCGGCGTCCTTCTCAACTCCGTCTTCGCCGTTTCTCAGCAGGTTTGCTCGCTTGAACATGGCCTCTCCATCACTGTCTTGCTCAGGACTCGCTGGTTGATTCTGCTCAGCGGAAATCACGAAAGCTTCTTCCATACTGTGCAGCGCTTCTGCGGACAACTTGAACATGGCTTCAATATACTCACAAACGGCATAGGACCGCTGAACATTCACGACCTGCCCTTGTTAAATACCGGTGTTAAATACGGAGAGAGAAGAGTAGCGCAGATTTTACCTTGCTGCCATGCATGCGCTCCTCAATAACACGATGTTTCCTGCAGCGAGTGGAGATTGGTCGAGTATGGCATGGGACTGGCCCGATACAGTAGGGAGAAACAAGACCTCTAGAATCGTGTCTATCTAGTGTATATCCAACAAAGCGTTATCATCACATAAAAATCATAAAAATCTGCGGTTTTTATTTGTTTTCTACTTTGATCTCCACGGTTTCTATTTTTCTTTGATAGGTTGACGCGCTTTGGAATTTTTCTGAAGTTGAAAGCACATTCTACGGAATGTCTCTGTGCCGGGGTTTCCGGGAATAGCCAATATTTGAAACATTTAGTCGCGAAGTTCAAAAGCTTGCCCGTATGTCTCGCGAGAAAGCCACCAAAACAGCTTTAGATCGCACAGGCAAAGCCATGCACCCTATGTTGTTTAAAATATGATTTCACATAAGATACTACTGATACAGCATGGGACTGTTGAAAACTTCAACATACCCTTTACAACGCATGAAAAATCTATACCTCGGTACAGTAGTATAATTTTTTAACCAAGGCTTACATGAGAAGCAGGCTATTCCGAATACTCAATTTGAAAGAGCGGGCTTCCTTGCTCTATCATTAATTGTGTAATTGTTAGGTTTGCGACGGAATGAAAACAAACAGAATGAAGCGCAATGCGGTGTCGGAAACGGTGGCCTAGTACATAAAACTGCTTAAAACGACGGTTCACTGTTTCTTGTCTTGCACGAATAGTAGCCAAGATCTTACGGTGTTCTCCTTCAACATCGCTTCCTAGAAGGCAGGTGGGATCCTTATAACCTTCACCTGCAACCACTTTCTCCCCGGCAGTAAGTGCAAACTTCATCGCAATTCGATAAATAGTAAGGTGTGGGTACAAGCCACAAGGAAAGGGGCCATGCGTCCAAACAATATGTCCGGTCAAAATACAAACGGCCATCTCATACCTCAATCCAGGGCCTCTGAACTTATGCGAGAACCACTGCGGACTGAATGGGTTTGGTTCGTATATGCGGAAGTCGGTACCGTCGACCGATACTTTGCACGCATTACTACAATTACTAGCGAAGCGGTTTTCCCATTTGATCTTCATTGTCAGACGAATACAAGTGTCATGTACCATTAAAAGTATATAAGAAATGAGTGCATGCTTCAAGTTAGTGTCAACTTCCGGGATTAATAATGTGTTGCAGATTATCACGTACGATTTTTAGATCCGCAATTAAGTTGACGAAGCACCACGACCATTTCCGGGATGTTTTTACGTCGACCTGGGCAATCGTTCTATGGGTCTCCTCGCTCCCATACGCTTTTAAAAATAGGAGAGCCCATAAAAGATGCACGGGCCTGGACGAAGTCGGGCGAAGATGTCCTAATAGATGCCAGGTATGAGAACATACGTTCGGTGTGATACCGAATAGTGCTCGAAAGCGGGAGCACTCTGTCCGGACACTCAAGCTAGGACTGTTCCGTATCACCACACCAGCAATTTCTGCAAAACGAGACGGGGAAATATGCATTCTTCCTCGACACGGCGTGGTTGCCGACAAGACCGGTCATGGAAGAGTCTGCGGGCTTCACCACCGACCAAATCTATATGGGATTACGAACTTCGTTTGTATTGCATGAAGCGTCAAAAAAGCAGAAGGTACAAAAAATAATAAAGGATTCCGTGCTAAATATACGATTAAATTACTAATTTTGGCATCTCTGCAGCGTGCAGAAAGTACATCCGAAACTATCGTTTTTGCTTAACTTTACATGGCGAAAGTTTTTTTCTCTTGCTACTTTGAGGCTACACCATTCCTTTACTGTATTCTTGGGGCAATCCCGTGCTCGACAGTTAACGCAAAAGCAATAAAAACAACTCCAGTTACCGCTGGAAGGACACTGAAGAGGCGAGAGTATCGTTTTTCCCCGATAGTATCGCTTAGTTTTGTGCAATTTTTAAGCCAAAGAAAGATTTGGTTCGAGTTGCTTCACATTCTCATAACGCGCTTGGGGTACTTCTGCAAACTTCTGCAAAAATGTAGGAACGAATGAACTCTACATGACTATAATCGGCACTGCAACAAAATCTGTTATATTAAATTCCTCACTCCAATCGGTACTATTTACAACTGCAGTAAAACATTATGGCACCCCAATTCTTTGTATTGTTTGATAAATACGCTTCTGTGACGTGGCACATAACCTGTCATGCACATTTGGCCATTACCGGTATGTAGTATAATGACCGGCGCGAGCGCGCGGAGGTCATCGGACGGCCGTATACGGTATACACGTGGGCGGCTGTGCCCACATGTAGCGAGCGCGCGCGCATGCCGAGCGGTCGTAATCTGGCGTACGTGTACAGTAGTGCACGTGTCGTCCGAGCGGTAGTCTACGCGTGTTACGTGTGCGCGTTAGCACACGTGTCGTCCGTGCGGTAGTCTGTAAGCAACACGCGTGTACAGTAGTGCACACGTGTAGTAGCAGCGTCCGTGCGGTAGTAGCAATTATGGCGCTAGTTTTTTAATTGTGTACAGTACCCGGCACGCACTAGGCGGCAGGTACTGTACTACTGTACTGGGACAGGTGTCCGAGGCGTCCCTCTGCGGGGTTAAGACCTGGCACCCGTCCCCACCAGTAAACGGGGGCAAGCTCGCCCCCGTCCCTTTTGCGCCTATGTACGTCCGTTTTCGGTTGTCTGTCGCGCGCGCTGGCTTCTAACCCGTTACGAGTCGCTCCCGTTCACGCACCACGGGGCGACTGCGCGTAACCGGCCAGTGAGCCACTCCCTTTTCGCGAGCTCGTCCGATCGGTTCAATTGGCGCGTCGCGTCCGCGCCGCGTGCTCCCTCGCTAAAGCCTCCGCCTCTCACCCAACCCAGGGCGGAGAGGAGTTATCCCACATTTGGTACTCTTGTGGAGGGGATAGCTCTTGAGGTTGAGCCGCACGCGTAGTCGCTCGACCGCGCGCAGAACCGTACGGACGGAAAAGGTTGAGAAATCACCGCTTCGATCGCGAAGCGTATTCGACCATGAACCGACCGGATCAAGGGGGAGACTCCGCCTCCGGGCGTCTGAGCACCCGCAGTGGCAGTGGCGCACCGCGCCCCCGGGTGGAGAACCCGGAAGCCCTGCTGCGACCGCCACCGCGACCGGGCCGCACGCGAGCGTCCGCATCGGATGTTACGCCGGCCGCGTCGGCAGGCACTGAGAATCGCGTCCAATGGATGGTCGACGCGATTCAGCCGCGCATCCAGGCCTGGGTAGAGGAGTTCGTCGCTACGGAACTCCCCCAGGTAGCGCCTGTATGCCTCGACCGAACGGTGCCCGGGCTCGTGAACGCGCACGTACGCAGCGCGATACCACCGCTTTTGGACGAACTTCTACCCGCTCAAGTCCAATGCGAGGTGGTGACCGC